GACAGGAGGGACACGCTGTCAGAGGCCCCGCAGGCAAGGGTTCCAAGTCCTGGTTCTTTATTAACAGGCTCCAGGTCCCAGGCAACGAAGGTCCCGCCAAGCGATCCTCCGTGGTCCAGGTGCTCAGCTGTGGTCGAGCACAGGCGGGTGCGATGCCAAACCCCTCCCGGGCGAGGACCCTGGTGTGTACAAGGAGGGTGGCGCAGCATCCCTCCGAGCAACCGCCAAGGCGGCCTGGCAGGCCGACCGTCCCCGACAGCCAGGGCACACTTTCTCTACCCCCAAGCTGCCTCCTGGCTGCCAGGTTTGCTTTCTACAGCCACGTGCCTGTCGTTAGGGTTAATGTCAAGACGGAGAAAGTTCAGACTCACAGACATTTCCCCAATTTACTGGACCACCGGGGGCAGACAGCCGGTGTTTTCTGCTTTTATGTTCAACTGTGAAAGTCATCAAGGACTATGGTGATGAAGATGTTTAAACTTTCATGTGTAAAATGCCCACACGGGCCTCTGGAAGGCAGCAATGCAAAGTTTTCAGGCGTGTGCCTAGGCCGGGGGGTCTCTCTGCCCTTGGTCTGTGAGCTGGGCCCAGCCGGAGCCGGCCCAGACACAATAAGCAAAAGCGCCTCTAGGCCTGTGGGTGACCCGGACACAGAGATCAGACACCGGCAGCAACCTGGGCTCTGGGGGGGATGGAAACGGTTCTCCTAAAGCCTGAACAAAACCAAATTTACGCTTACCGTTCCTCATTTCCTTGTTGTTATTTTATTTTCCACGTTCGGATCCTTCACCCATGTAAACATTAATTTTCTGTGTCATTTCTTTTCCCAAAGAGAGATGCAACTACCCCCAACCGTTTGCTGAAGAAAAGTGGTGCCAGGAAGGTCAATGTCGCTGTGCTACATGCAGCCGGACCTGCTCCCCGCCCCACGAGAGCTCAGACGTGAGCGTGCGCACGCACACGCACGCACACGCACGCACACGCACGCACACGCACGCACACGCACGCACACGCACGCACACGCACGCACACGCACAGGCGTGCTCACCAGACACCCGGAGCTGGAAGTCCACGGAGTCCTCGCCCACACGGCAGGAGTAGGTGCCCTCATCCTGCCTGGTGACTGCGGCTGCCACCAGCCGGTGCCGTGTCCCCACGTCCTCCTGCGAGAAGCGCTTGCAGGAGTGACCCAGCTCGGTGCCATCCTTGTACCAGCGCACGCGCACGTGGGACTCCGAGGTCTCGCACTCGAACTGGGCCGGGCCCCCGGCCACAGCGTCCACACAGCTGCCCGCTGTGTCCTTGTGCAGAAAGGGCGTGAGGCCTGTGAGGACACGAAGGGAGGTCAGGGACCGTGCTCGGCCACGGCAGCCAGCAGGGCACACCAGCCCTCACCCAGACCAGAGACCCCGTCCAGTCTCGGCTCCGGCCTCACTGCCCCTAAGGGACCACCCACCACGGAGGAGTCCTTCCTCCTACTGAGCTGAGCCCACCCCACTGCCTCGCAGGGTCGGACAACGGCCTCCCCTGCCCAGAGTGCGGGGACAGGGGACGTGGACCCGGCCCTGCCCACCCGCACGCGGCCCTCACCTTGCACCGACAGCTGGTAGGCAATGCGGCCACCATGGCTGACGCACTCGTAGAGGCCCGCGTCGTCCCGCGCCACGTCGCGCACAAGCAGTACCCTGCGCCCCGCAGACGCTTGCACCTCGTACTTGGGGCCTGGGGGCAGCGTGCGGCCGTCCTTCAGCCAGGTCACAGCCGCCGCCTGGTCCGACAGCTCGGCCAGCAGCTGAGCCTCCTCGTGCAGCCGGGCCAGCACCTCCCGGGCAGCCGCGGCTGGAGGCTTGCTGGTGGGCAGCCCTGGGGCTGCTGGGGCCAGACATGGCAGACGGGGTGGGGGTGGGGATTGGGCCACAGAGGGGACAAGGAGAGAGAAGGAGACATGGGTGGAGAGACAGAAAGGGATGGGGGGAGAGATGAAGTCTGGCCATCAGGCCCCCGCAGCCCCAGCCCTCATCTGCACATAACAGTGACTGTGCCACCAGCCGACCTGGGGCGAGCTCCCTGAGCACCCCCCACCCTACCGCTCCACCCCGGTGACCCCCAGCCCAGCCCCTGCCCTGGAGGAAACAGGGTTCAGGGTCCCAGGCCAGGTCTCCCAACCCCCACCCTCACCCTGCCTACCTCGGACCTCCACCCGGATGCTGCTCTCGATGCCGTCGGCCACGAACTTGAGCTGCGCCCCGTGCAGGCTGGCGGGCACCTCCCGGATGGTGAGCGTGTGCCGGGTGCGGTCACAGCGGATCACGTACACACTGCTGGCCTTCAGAGCCCGCCCATCCAAGAACCACTCTCCCGCTGAGGCCACGGTGAGGTCCACAGAGAACGTGACCTCGCCACCCTCCACCGCCTCCACCGCCTTCAGGGGTGTCCTCACTGCCAGCTTGGGGGCTGCAGAGAAGGCAGCGTCAGCGGGGAGCCAGGGCCAGGGAGCAGGGCGTGTGTGGAGGGTCCCTACCTTTCCCGCCTCTTCTCCCAGAGCCTGGACCCAAATGCCCCCTCCTCCAGGAAGCGTGGCCCACACACACAGAGCCACCATGAGCGTAAGGCAGGCTCACAAAGTGGCACGGACAAGTGACAGCTGCCCAGAGATCCCCTCCCGGATCCCTGAAGCCCTGCAGCCTGGGCCCCTGGAGTGCTGGAGGCAGCAGGCTCTCTCCCAGCCCAGAGGGCTCCACCAGAGGCAGGACCCTGGCAGCCCCCGACCTCCATAAAAAGATTCCATGAGGTCACTCTGGCCTCAGCCCAGGCTGAGCCACACCACTGGGCCTGGGTGATTCAGGGCCAGGCCAGCGGCCCCGAACGCCGTCACCCGGAGACCCACTTACCCAGGTGGACAGTGCCCGGAAACTCGAGGTAGGGACTCTGGCCAAAGCTGTTGATAGCTGACACCCGGAACTGGAAGTCCCCCTCCTCAGCCACACCAGCCACAGTCAGCTCAGGTGTGGCTACCCACTCGGCCTCGTGGCACCGACTCCAGGTATAGGTGCCAAGCCGCTTCTTCTCTACCAGATAGCCGTCGATGGTGACAGGGCGGTCCCCGTAGGCTGGTGGGGACCAGCCAAGGGTCACGGAACTCTCTGTTCTGGTCTTCACCACGGGGTCCGCAGGTGGGTGCAGAGGCGGCTTCCTGGGGGCTGGGTGGAGAGTGGCATGAGGTCACCGGCTGGGCACCCCGTCTCTGCTCTGGGTCTGGAATCACCCAGAGGGGGCTTCACAGAAGGCCTCGGCCCTCCTGGGGCACGCCGCTCTGGGGGTCTGGACCACTGGGCTCACAGCCCCTTCCTCGGGGCCTGGAGCCACTTCTCTGGCTGCAGAGGAAAAGCTGCCTGGGCCTCTTTGGGGAGGCCAAGCTTGGGGGCCCAGGGCCATGTTCTCTGCCCCCCATGGCAGGAGGCTGGACCCAGAGAGCCGGGCTGAGGGTGGACAGGGAAGAGACACTACCCAAAGACCACTCCCCAGGTGGCCCTCACCTGACACATAGAACTGGGTGGATGTCCGGCTGTCACCAGCCACAAAGGCCACCTCGCCCATGTCTTCCAGGCCGCACTGCGAGATGATCAGCGTGTGGCACGTGCCTTCCGTGGTGATGGCCACCCGACCACCCGCCACCACCTCCTCCTGGTTCCGCAGCCAGCGCACTGGGCCCTCCGGGACGGCCAGCTCCACGCAGAACATGGCTGTGTCCCCCACGCGCACCGCAGTCTTCCGAGGGAGCCTTCGGAGGAGGTTACCTGGGGTGGATGTGAGAGCCCAGGCCAGTCAGCCCAGCGCCCTCCCCGGCCTCCTGCTGGCTCCTCCTGTGCGCCCACCTGCCCGCCGCCCTCCCCTGCGGGTCCCCGCCTGCCTTGGACCGCGAGCTCCGCCACCGTGCGGCTGCCCTCCTGGGTCTCACAGATGTACACGGCGTCGTCGTCCGCTGAGACGTTGCGCACGGTCAGCCGGCGCTCGGTGCCCTCCTCCTCGATGCCGTACTTGGCGCTGGACCACAGCCGCGTCTCCTCCTTGTACCACGCGGCCTCCGTCGCCGGCTGGGGCACCTCGCACAGGAACGTGGCCGACTCCTTCTCCCGCACCTGCAGGTCCTGCAGCCGCTTCTTGAAGGGCACCGCAGGCTCTGCGGAGAAGAGGCTGGTGAGGGGCGAGGAGGGCGCACGAGGATGGGAGCCCAGAACACAGGAGTGATGGGTGGGGGTGGGCGCATGGGAGGGAGTAGGAGGAAGGGCCCTGGGCGCGGGAGTGCTCGGTGGGAGTTGGGCGGGGCCGCGCAGGGGGCTGCAGAAGTGGAGAGGTGGGGGTGTGCGAAGGTTGCCGGGAAAAGGACAGGGAGTGGCCGGTAGCAGGCGGCTAACGGTGTGGGGGCGGGGCAGTGGACCGGATGGGGAAAACGAGTCACGGCGACGAAAGGACGCGCCCAGCGCCATCTCCCGCGTCGCCCGCCTTCTGCGGACTGGGCACGGACGCCTGCAACTCCGGACTCCACGACCCGACCGACGGGGGCGGGAGACGGGCGGCAGCGGCAGCCCGGCGGCAGGGCGCGGGAGCAGGGGCTGGGAAGAGGCCTCCGCCTGCCGCGCTGGCCGGGACCGCCGGCCGGGAGCTCACCGCGCACGACGACCAGCACGGAGCTGTAGGTCTGGCCCACGAGGTTGGACGCCGCGCAGGTGTAGAGGCCGCGGTCCGACTGCTTGCAGAAGAGGATCTTGAGCACGAAGTTCTCCTGCTCGTCCTCGTACACCACGTGGCGCCGGCCCTCGGTCACCAGCTGTCCGTCCTTCTTCCACACCGTCTCGGGCTTGGGCTCGCCCGTCACGTAGCAGCTGAGGCGCGCGTGCTTGCCCTCGGTCACCGTGCAGGTGCGCGTGCCGCTGCCGGGCGGCGAGGCCGGGGCGCCCTCGGCTCGCATCACCTCGCGCCGCCGCTGCAGGTGCGCCAGGAGCGCGGCCGTGGATGTCCCCGGCGGGCTGTCCGCGTCGGCGTTCGGGTCCACCACGAGGGCAGCAGCGGCGCTGGCAGCGCCCAGCGGGTTCTCGGCGCGCACCTCGTAGGTGCCGCCGTCGCGCAGTCGGGTCGCCCGGATGCGCAGCGCGCTCGCCTCGCCATGCTCCTCCACGCGCACGCGCGGTCCGTCGGTCTCGCCCAGGCGCAGCCCGTCCTTGGACCAGCTCACGGCCGGCTTCGGGGAGCCCCCCACGCGGCAGCGGAACGTGGCCTCGGAGCCCTCGCGCACGCGGATGGACGTGGGGCGCAGCAAGAAGTGTGGGGCCTGCTCGGCGCACGCGGCCTCGGAGTCCACTTGCAGACCCACGGCCGCGAAGGCCTCCCCGATGGCGTTGCGCGCGCGGCACACATACTGCCCGCTGTCCCCAAGCGCCAGGTCCAGGATGGTGAGGCGGTAGAGGTCGCCGTCCTGGGCCAGGCGGTAGCGCGCACACGCCTCCACGGGCTGCTGGTCCTTCTCCCAGCTCACCTGCGGCGTCGGGTTGCCCACGATCTGGCAGCTGAGCGTGGCGTCCTTGCCCACCGACACTACAAAGGCCTTGGGCCGGGTGAGGAAGCGGGGCGCGCCGCTGAAGGAGGAGGGGTCCATGGTGGCCCTGGCGGGAACCTGCAAGGGCATCCGGGGAGGTTGAAGTGGGGATGGGCGTGAGCCCCGGATTCGCGCCGAGCACCTCGCCTGCATCCCCCCCAGCCCCTTCCCTCGTCCAGCGCTGCCTGGAGAGCCTATTTAAGGCAGGTAGACACCTTCCACCCCATCCCAGCCCATCTCACAGACTCCGCCCCTTTCTGGGCACTTAGGCTATGGCGGCCCCACAACAAACGGTCTCTTTTAATTGGCAGGAGCATCCGCTCCCCTCTCCGCAGCTGGGAGTCTGCTAGAGCCCCCCCGCCAGCAGGCAGGACCGGCGCCGCTGCTGCACTCTCCACGCAGATCCGCCTGGTGCACTGTGGGCCACTCTGTCCACCTGTGGGTCTCCTGCCTGACACACACCACCGTCACCCTGCGTTTAAACCTCCAGTTGGCCTATGTGCCCCACACGGAGAGGGGGAGGCTCACTGAGCCAACAGGCCTGGGCACCTGTCCCTTGCCCATCTCCTCCGACTGTTCCACTGGGCTCCACCCAGGGGCCTGACCTGCCTGTCCCTGCCCTGGGCCAGAAGGGACCTGCCTCTTCTATAGGGCGCCCACCTTCGCTGGGGGGGAGGGGCGGGGCATGTCCTTTGTCAATGAGCAGGGAAAGAGTGGAAACCACTGGGCACCCCCACTCCCCCTCTGCAGGGCCTGGCCAGGGTCACAGCAGGGAGGGACAGGGCAGTGCACCGTCAGTAGCATGGCTGGGGAGGACAGCCGGAAGATCCCCACAGCATGGAGCTGGCAATGCCAGTGACATCCCCTGGGAGAGCCAGAGACTTCCGGGCTGACACCAGCTGGGTCGAGGCCGGCCAGACCCAGCCTTGTTGAGGGGTTGCTGCGGGTAACCTGGTCACACCACCATTCTGAGCTGCTGGCCAGCGGGGCACGCTGCTGGGCTGGGGTTGGACACCTGGGCCTTCCTGGGCGCCATCCCCAGGTGACTCTGGCCTTTGCCCACCGTGCGCTGAGCCCCAGCTGGCCGGCCCCCAATACAGGTGGAGCGAGGTGAGACTGCCTTGGCTCTTCTGTAAGAACAGGGGGCGCCAAGTGGACCCCACAGGCATGACATGCTTTGACTGTCTCCACCCCGGGCACAAATGCCTACCCTGCGGGGCACCTTGCCACACCCTCCCTCGGGCTGGAGCCTCCAGCCACTGGGCCCGGGCTGCCCGCTGTGGGCTGAGTGGGGCCGATGTTCCCGGTCCTGTGATTCAGGTAGTTAATCCATCTTAATCCCCTTGCGGAGCCTGAGCCCGGAGCAGGGCCGGGCTGCGCACAGCGGGTGCCAGTCTGCTGACTCACTGTGCAGTCAGCACCTCGAGCCTGGCCACCCCCCACCCACAGCAGGGCTCTCTGGGGCTAGAGAGGACCTGGGCGGGGGCCACCCACGGTGGGGATTGGGGATTGAGTTTAGCCCCTTCTGGAATCTTCCTCCAGGAGCACCTCCCAGGCCTCGATGGGCTACTTTGACATCAGCTCTCCAGACACCCTGAGCTCTGGGTTCTCATCACTCCCCCAGATCATGCAGTTGGTCTATGGGTTCCCAAAGCAGGATGGGGCATCCTCTCCCTGCGCCCACCTCCAGCGGGCCCGGCCAGGGTGACACTGGAATGACACATGAGGCAGCATGGGCAGGCAGCCCCTCTGCACCAGGAGGCCTGGGACAGGGGCAGGGAGCTCCTAGCCTTTGGCAGGTGCCCAGGCTGCCCCTGGCGTGGCAAGATTGGGCGGAGACTGTGTAGGCCATCAGGGACAGTGTCTCGGCCCCAGGGCCTGCATTCCACCACTCACGTGTTGCCATACGGTGGCAGACCCGCAGAGCAGGCCACAGGTCTGGGGGAGGCTCACGGCAGCCCTGTCAGGCGGCCATCCCACCGGTCAGCAGGCCTGAGGCCAGAGAGGACTGGGGAGCCTGCCTTCTTTCTTGGTGGCCCATATCACAGATGGGGAAACAGAGGCCAAGCTGGGAGGGGACCCACCCAAGGCTACCTCTGGGGCTCCCAGGCACAGGGACATCTGCAGAGGCCTCCTGTCCCTGCCACATCTGGGGTTGGAGGCTGCTGGACATGCAGCCCCGTGAGCACTCCAGGTGACTCTGCAGGATGGGAAGACCCCAGCCCCAGCCTACAGGGAAAGCCCCTTCCTCCCTCCAGCCCTGTGGGGGCTCAGGACACACACACCTGGGGTGGCACCCCTGGGAGCCCCTCAGCCCCCTTCATGGCCCCTCCACCCTAACTTTTCAGAACTTTGCCGCTCTCTGGTCCTCCAGGGGCCCCTGGAGCTTTCTCAGGGTGAGTCCAGAGTAGTACCCCTTTTTGGGGGTGAGGCCAGCAGGTCTGCAGCCACCCTCCCCTTCCCTCCCATCGCAACGCGGAGTCCAGTGGTGCCTGCACACCCATGCCCTTCCAGAACCCACTTCCAAGGGCAGCTCCCCGAGGCTGCCTGGACCTCACCTTAGACCCCCCAGGGCCCGTGGGCTTCCCGCTCCAGGGGAAATTCTTTCCTGGAGTCAGGTGTCAGTGCCCCTCTGGCTGTCCCCAGTGCTGAGCCAACAGGCCCAAAATAGCCCCAGCTGTCAGCGGGCATCCGTCTCAGCAGGCTGGGGGCAGGGCCAGCCGGACCCCTGGGCTGCGCTCGGAGCGGGGTCAGCCAGGGAGGCAGTGGGTGCACACCAGCCCCAGCGCCCCTCCAGCCCCCAGCCCTGCAGGTGGCTCTTTCCCCACGTGAGGGCCCAGCTCTGGGTCACCGATGGGGCCGAGGCTGGAGCCTGAGCCCCACCATGGGGAGATGCCCAGTCTGGCCGGACTCTGAAGGTCCCTCCGCTCCCTGACCTTCAGCTGAGCCGTCTCGCAGGGGAACAGGACGCCACCCACCCTGCCGGGTTTTCTGTCTCCTCACCTGTCTCTATGCGGGGCTCCGAGCAGTGCCCAGGTCGGGGGCGCAGGCGGGGGGTCCGGGGCTGCTGGGTCTCGCCTTGCTCCGAGGGCCCAGGACCGACAGGGTTTGCACCCAGCAGCCCACACTCTGGCCAGTCCTCAGACTGGACAGGGACGAAAGGACAGGCGGATGCTGTCAGCTGGAGAAGGCTGGGCCCGCCCCCACCCCGCCCCCACCGCCAGCCAGCCCGGCCCAGCCCAGCTCCAAAATAGCCCGGGTCTCACTGTCCAGGATTCGGTTTCACCCTCGGCCCTGAGAGGAGCAAAGGGCAGATGCTTGGGGCCACAGCCAGGGGCAGGAGGACGCCTGTGTCCTCCAGCAATGACATGGGCTGGGGGGCACAACTGGCCTGGCCCCTCCTCAGACCAGCATTCTGGAGTGCAGGCAGGAGGCCTGGGACCACCCCCACGGGGTACCCAGGACCACCCCAAGGGAGGACCTGGGACCACCCCCAAGGGGGACTCAGGACCCTCCTGCAGGGCCCTGCACCTGCGCGTCCCGGGGCCCGGCAGTGGAAGGGGCAGGCAGGACAGGCTCCCGGTCCACCACCTGTGACAGTGGGCTCCTCGTCCTGTCGTCACTGCCCACCCTGGCCTCTCCCTGCAGCACACACCCTGACTGGGTCTGTGACGCATCTTTATGTGGGAGTGGGGGATCCCCTGGGAGCCCGGCCTGCCAGAGGCGGGGCAGGCCCCACCCAGGGACGCCAGACCCCCAGGCCTCAGAGGCCCAGGTCTGAAGGAGGAGGCACAGCTGAGGGGTGGGGAGCCAGGGCAGGGCCCCTGTACCCCATGCCCTGGGGGACACCTGCCCTCAGGCGTGTCGCTGAGCCAACCCCAGCTGCCAGTACCAGGGAAGCCAGAGAAAGGGCCAGCTGGGTGGAGGGGCCGGAGCCCGGCACGGGAGGACAGCTCACGTGGTTGGAGTGAAGAGGGGACCCCGGGCTGGGGGAGACCTGCTCTTTGCCTCCAGGATTCAGCCCCATCCCTGAGCCAGCGCCAGGGACCTGTCTTCATCCGGGGTCCCAGCCTCTGGTGACGCCCTCCAGGTGACAGCAACATCTCATGTTCTCACATGGTGGAAAGAGGGTGAGGGTCTCTCAGGGGTCTCTTGTAAAGACACTAATCCCCTCATG